CCAGAGCTGCCAGGGTGCTCTTAACCATCTATATATATATATATGCTTGCGGTCAACTTGTTGATAGCGTATTAATAACCTTGATTTGACAAAACTCGGGTGAGTTTTGCTCTGCAGTGTTGACTTGGCGAGCTTGAACCTGAACCGCAGTTCAGTCCGAGCCGTGGGCTCAAAAATTTGGCAGCTGTTCTAGCATTGAGGCCGCTACGCTCCTAGACTTTCTAGAAGGCCCCAGCTGCTAAATTCAAGGCATTTCCTCTCCTGTGCATGGACACAGACTCGGACACTACGTCCCTGGCCTCTCTGGTTCGCACTCAGGAGTTGCGTTCTCTTGAAAGGGAGTTTTACGACGGGCTCGCTGCTTTGCAACTGCGTGTCACAGTTCTCGAGCATCGCTTGCGCCCCGCTCCCCCATCCAGCCCCTCCCAAAGTGAAGCTTCAGCTGAAACTGTCGAGCCTTTTCTTGAGCATTGCTGTTCTCAAGACCGGCTTCTGGAAACGGTGTGGCAGTACCTCACCCCATCTGACCGCCACACTCTGCTGCAGATCAGCTGGTGGTTCCGCGTCGAGGCGAGCGACGGCCTCGTGGGCCTTGTCGTGAACCGTGGACTGCCGTCTGCTCAGACACCATGTCTGCGCACGCCGCAGCCCCTGCTGATTCGGATAATAGGGGGTTACCGCAGGCTGCTCCCATCGATTTGGATGCCTCTAGCGGGGTCGCTGCTGATAGTGGTTTTGGCTTGGGTTTGGGCCTGAATGCAGAGCCGCTGCAACCAGAGGAAAACCAGGACGAGGCTCCCGTGCCCGAGGGCCAAAGCATGCAACCGCAGATTGCAAATGGACATTCAGCTCCCGGGCCCGAGGGCCAAAGCATGCAACCACAGATTGCAGATGGACATTCAGCACCGGCCCTGGGCAGTGTCGAACTTGCAAATCTTCGTGAACAAGAGGTTGCTTGAGTATCTGATCTGTCTTTTGCTTGCACCGAGTTTGATGAAAGGGAGGAAATGGAGTACTATCGTCAGCTAGAGCAGGGGGCTGACGATGGTTTTGACGAGCATCTTAGGAACTTGATTGAGAATGTTCAGGGCGACTTAGCTGTGTCGCTACCGGAGAGCTCAGCTGCATCTTTTCTGGAGAGTGCCAGCAGTAGCGTGGACCCCGTGCAAATACATGAACAAGTCGTAGACGAACTCTTGAATCATCCAGCACCGCCCCCTAAGTTTAAGTTGCCTTGGGAAAAAGGACCCACGAGATGCATCTTCTCAGACAACCTGCCAGGCCTGTCTGGGATCAGAGGGATGCCCCGCAGGAGCCTGCCCGAGGCTCTCCCCGTTGCGAAAAGTGCACCCATGCATAAGAAACCCCGTCCGTGAGTATAATTCCGGTGAACCCATCTTCAAATGTGTGGTGAAAATGATCAAGGATGTTACTTACATGGAGCGACGGGGAGAGGTTTGGGATGTGAGTATCCGGAAACTTGCAGTCACTTGAGAGCTAGTTGGGTTATCTAGTGTGCCCGTGGAGCTTGTGCATGAGGGCAAGGTTGATCTTCCCTCCTTGGAGGCTGCCATAGGCGTGAGGAGCCCGCATACTCTGGAGAAGCGTACGGGGCATCTGGCCAGCTTTGTCAGATGGTGTACTGAGCAAGGAATCAAAGAGGGATTGCGCTTCAAGGAATCCACCGTGTGGGAATTTCTGAGTCACTTGAAGCGGACGGGGGCCGCCCCATCCAAAGGAGCCGACTGCATCTCAACCATGCGCTTTCTTCATCATGTCTTGGGGATGGACCTCTCGGTTATCCTTAAAAGCCGAAGAGTGTGTGGCATCACCGAACTGATGCGCACAGGCAAAGGTTGGTTGAAGCAAGCAGCCCCTCTCCTCTTGCTTGAGATAATCTTTTTGCACAGGATCCTTGAAGAGCGATCGCTTCATAAGTTTGACTTGGCAATCGTCGCTTACATCTTGATTGCGCTCTATGGAAGGGCAAGGCACTCGGATTTAGCGGATGTCCAGGTGGTCACCCACGACCATTCTCCGGCTGGAGGCTTCCTTGTGATTGCGCTAGGGCAACATATAAGACACGCCGGGCCCATGCCAGAAGTCGTGAGCTGCTACCAGTCCTAGTCCCCGCAATAGGGGTTACAGGGCGCACGTGGCTCAACGAGGCTAGGGAGTGCTTCGAGGCGGTTGGCCTTAGCCTGGAAGGCGAGATCAAGGGACCTTTGATGCGAGCCCCTGCAAACGCTCAAGTGAGGTCACAGCATTCTTGCGGCGGATTCTTGCTCCGGTTTGCGCTGCAGATCGGCTTGCTTGCCTATCGTCACACTCGCTCAAGAGGACGATGCTCTCTTGGTCGTCCAAGTTCGGCCTGCTTGACGACACATGCGCAGTATTAGGACGCAGGACGCCATACTTCTGCCACTGTTGGGTCAAGAGTGCTGTATGCAATGGACCTCGCTGTTGCACCGACGCGAGAGTTGCAGCGAATGATCTTGGAAGTGGCAGCTAAGCGCTTTGTGCCTGATGCAGCAAGGTCTGAGTATTTTCCTCGTAGGATGGAGACTGAGACAGAAGTGCCAGTCGCGGCCCCGCAGCCGCCTGCAACGCATGATGATGTGCCGGAAATCAAGGTTGAGGATGCTGCTCCTGCACCAGGGCCTGTGTCGGAAGCGGGCCCAATTGTCATCGACTCTGATCCCGAAACCTCTTTGAGTGAGAGCTCATCGTCATCGAGCAGTGAAACAGGCAGCTCAGCAACGGAGCCCCGAAAGGATGAGGTTCCTAGGGTCACAACGCGTTGGCCGCAAGAGGATGTCGCTTTCCATGTCAAGTCGAAGATTGTGCATCGCATTGTGTTCACGTCTCCGGGGGGCACCATTGTTTTTGCATGCGGGCGGTCCGGTACCACCACTTTCAAGAGGCCTGATGGCCCTGTGGATAGGTATCCGTTATGTATGTCATGTCGCAAGTACCGAGGGGTAGCCAAGAGACTCGGCCGGATGGCCCGACGACTTCCGAAGGGGAGCAAAAGCCGAGGGGCCGTTGCATGCGGATGCTTGAGGAGGGAAGAGAGAGTTGCAGCGCAGAGTGGCTTTTAGGACTGCTGCTTGTGGTGAAACCTTGTTTGTGATGCGTCCATGTTCAAGTCCGGAGGGTGACACGTTTGCATGCTGGAAACATGTCATGTCCTTGTAGATTGCGAATTTCTTTAAGTGCTACATGCTGTTTGTGGTATCATTTGAATCGCTGGTGTTAGCTTGAGGTGACACTCTGTCATTAAACTCCGTGTGCAACCTTCGTGAAGCTATGTCTGCATATCTTGATTCTACAGCACATTTTGAGCAGCGGTGCAAAGGATATGGGCTCACCTCCGAGTCCATCGCGAAGCTTGCGGGGCTGCAAATCAAGACATTAGGCCAGGTCGCTCATGCCGTAGGAGTGCCTGGCCAAGAGATTCAAGACTCTCAGACTAAAGATTGGTTGGACGAGAATGTTGCAGGCTTGAGTGTAGGCGAAGTCCTTAGCTTCAAGAGATTGCTTTTTGAAGCGCAAACAATGCTGATTGCCCAGCTTCGACAAACAGTCGTTGATCCAGATAGTGACAGCAAGCAGAAGCTGCCAGATGCTGAAAGAGACCAGCGCGTGCGTCTTTTCAAAGAAGCCAATCCAGGCCTTTTCATGGATTCTGCCACCGAGCCAGGCCATAGCCTGTTGGAGCTCACAAGTGCGCAGGAGCGAGAAACTGTCTTGAGGCACATCCCTGTTGAGAAGTGCGTCAGCAGGCAGCATGAAATCCTTAACCGTCGCCAGCCCGGCAAAGTCTTAGAGGTTGAATCCGGTAAGGTTTCTGTTGCAGAAGTAACCGAAACGCCCGAGCAGCCAGCCCATGGTGCGCTTGCTCTGCTGGAAGCGTTCAAGCGGAGAGGGTACGCATACAACATGGCGAGATGCGTCACACTATCAGCCTACGAGCGCTATGTTGCCAAATTGCTTATGAACTTCAGGCGGCCGGCACCACCCAACCATCAGAGGGTGTCCTTGAATCAGATCCAAGATGCAGACAAAATGGTCTGGGTGCATATGGTAGAGCGCGGCACGCGACCGCGCCAGCAGCCAGACGGTACACGTGACATGGATGTGCACCTTCATGAGGCCCTTGATTCCTATCAAGTGTCATCGATGCTGTTGCCTCTGCCCTCGCCCGTGAAGCGCAAGCGTGAGGACAGTCCGTCAAGGACTTGGACAGGTAAGGGCAGGAAT